CTCCCTGAAGTCAAGGAAATCTCAAAGCCTCCTCGAAGCTGCTGCCTTCCTCTCTTCTCCCTAATTAACTTTACCCAAATGCACTGTCAGTAAAGCCCACAAACATGTCGCAGGGCAAAGCTAATGGGCTCCCATTTGTGCGCGTGCCAGCCCGGCCATTAGCCGGGAGCAATTAGCAGTGGCAGGGAGCAATTAGCGTCTGCCGGCTCTTCGCTTGCCCTGCCACAGGCCCAGGGGCAGGGGACACAGCCACGGCCCCTGGCAGGGCTGCACGGTGCTCCAGCCCCCCGAACAGGGGCAGGGCAGAGCTCTGGCAGGGCAGAGCTCCAGGGCCCGGTGGCAGCGGCACACGGGCAGCCAAGCTCGGCCCGAGGGCCATCCCTGGCACCAGGTGGGTCCGTGCAGAACCAGACGGGCTCTGCCCTGTGCCAACACCGCCCGTGGGCTCAGCTGCGGCAGCCGGGATGCGCAGGACCCAGGCTCAGCCTGCTGCTGCAGCCACAGGGAAAAGCCCCTCTCTGTGAAAACACTCTGGAGCATCTGACAGGATCACTCAGGAATCCTAAGGAGAAAAACTGCACCCTGAGATGATGCAATTAGAGGCACTACTCAAAGTTAACGGCAATTTAAATCACACCATCTTCCCTGTGTTCTGGAAAATATTGAAGGTTATTGGCCCCCACTACTTGCAGCAGGAAAAAGCTCAATATTGAACATTTAGTGCAGGATTGGTAATGAATCGATATTCCCCAGTAGCTGCTGTTTGGTTTCAGTTGTCTTTAAACAGACCTTGCTAAAAATATCTTTCCTGTAGTGTATCTGTAGCTAATGAGGTGGATTAGAGACTGATGGGAATTGAGGCAGCACGGGGGCTCTGGGGCTGGAGCCGGTGATGGGCAGCCCCGAGTTGTGGGGGTCCCCCACGGGGGGACCCGGGGTCTGGCTCTGCCCAGCCTTCATCCCCCTGCACAGGGGAGCTGGGGCTGCTCCGGGCCATGGCACTGTGAGAACAGCTGTGAACACGCATGACATTTGGAGAGGCAAGGACAGGCAGACCAGGAGGTGTCCCCTCCCGCTAGCTCTGCCATCTCTGCGTCAAACGCCAGGGCAGGGGAAAATGTGAGAAAATGATAAAGCAGCGTTTCTGGAGCATCAAAGGGGCTCAGTTCTCATGCTACTTGCAACTGCACCAAAGACCAACTTGGTCTCTCCACTTGGGTCCCCACTGGGGCACGAGGGAAAGACACAGCTTGGCACTCAGCAGCCAGGGGCTCCAGCAGGCAAAGTCTGCTCACATCAGGGCATGCCTCCACCTTTGCCTTTCCAAGGGTCAGTGCTCTGGCAGTGGGCAGACACTGCCCTCCACGAGCAGGGCAGCACCTGCTCTCCCCAGCTGGAAGCTGGAACAAGCCCCAGCCAGGCCGGTGCAAGCCCCCCACTCTGGGGTCCTGCCAGGCCCCTTGCAACCCCTCACAGCCCCCACATCTGCTGGCCCCAGCCTCTGCTCCGTCCTTCCTGGGCCGTGGCCCCTGGCAGGACTCTGCTCTCCTGCTCCCAGGATCTTGGCAGGGCGACAGGAGCTTATCCCGCTGTGGGTTAGACCTGCTCCACATTAATTGCTCCAGTTGCAAGGAGGAAAATCAATTCCACGTTTTATACTTTAGCAGCCTCTGTGCTTAAGTTTTGGCACATTTGTCAGTTTAAAAAAAAATAGGGCAATAAAACCAAGGAAGTGTCATTTAATTGTTTTAGCTGAACTAATGTGGGGGCCCTGCTGCTCTGGCATCTCTCTATTGATCCAGAAAGAGCCGGGCCCCGGGACAGTGCACTGCTCACCTGGCCACGCTCCCACTGCTGCTCCCACCTCGCTCCAAAACCGCCCTGCCACCTCCACAGGCTGCATCCCTGCTGCTCATGGACAAGTCCCTTCACAGGGACAGTGCCAGGCTCGGGGTGGGAGGTGTCTGCTCGGCTGCACACTGCTGCAGCCCCTCAGTGCCAGGTGGGGATGGCACAGCTCCTGCCTCCTGGGTCAGCACCACTCCTGGTGTCCACAGGCGCTCCTACATGCCCCAGGCAGGGTCTGTCCCTTCATTCAGGGCAGGCTCTGTGTCCCAAACCTTGAAAGGGAGTAGTGTCACAGGTTCAGTCCTGCACTGCCCATGAGGCTCCCAGCCCACATTTCCCACCCTGACAGAGCACAGGGGAAGCACAGCCCAGAGCAGTCACAGACACAAGGATGCAGGGAAGGATCCCAGCTCAGGATTTAGGGGCTTTGCTTCCCAGCTAGGTGCTGAGCCCATGCAGCTCCCCTCTGAGCGAGTGGCTCAGCCAAGATCCATATTCTGCTCCATCACCCATCCTGCCACTCTGGTTGTCTTTTAGAGAAAGCACTGTCCTCACATGCCTGAGCTACAGGGCTGCTCACAGCAGCTGGCTTTTAGGGGACGCAGGATGGGTGACAGTGCCTGATGTTGGGGAGAGGCACTGTCACAGACCTGCCAAGAGGCAACAGCAGATGAAGGCTATTGCTGTAGCTACTCTCTGAAGGGTAGAAGGAACGTGGCAGGCTGCAGGACACCCTCAAGAGAGGGAAATGTCTCCAGTGAGCTTCACATGTGCATGCCTTGACTCTCCTGTCACCTGCCACGAGTACTGGCACCAGGGGATCTGAACACTCCTGGCTGCAGGGTCCGCTGTGACCCCAGCAGGACGCAGGGCAGCAGCGCTGAGGTCTCTCCATGCAGTTCCTGCAGCACCTCTCAAGGCTCGAGCCCCCGGTACCAGGACCTGAGCAGAGCTGGGAGTGAGCACTACGTCACACTGACTTCCCACCTGCTTGCCACTGAGCACCGACCTGCTTTGGAACTGGGGACAAGATGTCGGGCAGGAGAGGCTGGTGCAGCCCCAAGGCCGCTCCTCCGCCCACGGTGATGCTCCGACACTGGCAACGACAGAGTCCTTTCCCCTGCTCTGAGCTACAGGCAGCCAGGCCCAGGCCAAGCTCCCCTCTGCTTCCCGAGGCTGATGCCCAGCAGAAGCCGCACGGCCTTTCCTGAACGCACCCAGCACTCTGCAGGAGCACAGCAAGCAGCTGGTACACTGGGTGGGAACCACGGGGAGTGGGCTGAACCGCTGGCAGCACCGCTGAGCCCACGGGCGCTGTGACCTGCTGAACAGCAGCACCTGCTGCCTCTCCCAGAGCACCCACAGCACCTCACAAAAGCCCTTACGGGAATTAAAATCCCACCATCTCCTGCTGGAGACACACTCGCCGACCTCTGCAAATGATTAGAGATTCCATATAGATCCACAGTTACTCGAGTTCAGAGAGACGGGATGGCAGAGGACAAGGACTGTCCCTCCCAGGAGCCAGCGATCAAACCCGGCAGCAGAAGCGTGCGGGGTGCCCCGAGCAGGGGTGTGGGAGGACAGTGCCTCCCGAACAGGCACTCACGCGTTTTGGAGAACCGTTCACCCGGGCGAATGTTTCCTCAGACGGGATGGAAGGGATGCCCTGGCATCGTCCTGACTCCTGGGTGCCTACCGGCAGGGCCGTAACTCGGGCGGCTACAGCCGAAAGCTCCGGCGAACGGGCAGGACCGAGCCGCGACCCGCTCGGCTACAGCAAGAGGAGACGGAGGAAAACTCCCCGAGAGCGGCCGGGCGACAGCCTCCGCCGCCAGCCCGCCCGCCGGGACCGCTCCGGCCGCTCCCGCCCCGCCGGCTCCATCCACTGACCGAGGAACGCGGAACTCCCCAGCGTTCCGACAGCGAAAGCGCCGGGAGTCGAGAGGGGCCCGCGGCGTGAGGGACGGGGATGCTCCGGGACGGGGGACGGCCGGCGGCCGGGGACAAGGGGCGCCCGGGGCGGGCGGGGCCGGTCCCGCAGCCGCCCGCCCTCACCTGTACCACTCCAGCCCGCGGTGGTAGTTCCTGTCGAAGAAGTGGGGCTCGGTGCCCAGGGCGCGCACCTCGGGGTGCACCCGGATGAACTCCAGCACGGCGCGGGTGCCGCCCTTCTTGACGCCCACCACGATGGCCCGCGGCAGGCGCTTGGTGCCCGGGCGGGCCGGCCCCGGGGCGCTGCCGGCCGGCGGGGCGGGGGCCGGCCGCCCGCACGGCCGCGACTGCTGCAGAAGTTTCTTGGCGGCGGCGGCGCGGGCGGGCGCGCAGCGGGCGCGGGGCGCGGCGGGGCCGCCGCAGCAGCACAGGAGGCTGTAGCACAGGTACGAGCAGGACAGCGACAGCGTGAAGAGGACGAGCACCCTCCCTGCCAGCCGCCGGGACGGAGCCGGAGCCACGGCCGGGGCCCGCCCGCTCGGCGCCCTACGCGCCATGGCTCCATGGGGCCGCGCCGCCGGGCACGGCGGGCCCCGGCCCGGCGCCCCGGCCCCGGCGCGGCCGCTCCGGCATCGCCCGCGGCTACGCGGCGGCGCGGCCGGGCCGCCCGAGGGCGCCGCGCCCGCCCCGGGCCCCCTGCGCCCGCCGCCCCGCCGCGGCCGTCCCCGCCATCGGGCGGCGGCGGCTCCGCGCTGCCTCCGCGGGAAGTGCCGGGGCAGCGGCGGCTGCGTCGCTATTTAAGGGGCCGCCTGACGTCAGCGCCTCCCGGAGCCCCCGCGGCCGCTCGGCCGCCGGTGCCTCCCCCGGGCCGGGCCGGGGGTACCGCCGCGCACAGCCCTTCCTCCCGGCACCGGGCTGCCGCGGGGCCGGGGCGGTCCCGCTGCCCGCCGAGTCCTGCCCTGCCCGGCCCCGGTGCCCGTGCGATCGTCCCGTGCCCGGTCGCGCCGTCCTGCCCGGCCCTGCCCCGCTCTGCCCCCACTTCCAGCCCTGAACCGCTCGAAGCGGCGGTGCGGAGCCGGGGGCACCCTCCTCCGTCCCCGCAGCCCGGTCGGAAGCGGCGCCTCCCGCAGCCGCGCACCCTCCGCCCGGGAGCGGGGACCAAGCAGCAGAACGGTGTGAGCAGCCCTCGCCCGGGAGCGGCAGCCGGGGCTCGGGGCTGCGCGGGTCACGGCCGGTCCCCGGGATGCCCCGGCCCGGTGCCAGAGCCGCGCTGCCCGAGCCATCAGCCTCCGAGGGGAGCGCGGCGGGGCCGCCCACGGTAGCAGTCGCTTCTGTCCTCGGGAGGGCAGGAGGAGCAGCCATCGGCCGCCGCGGTGCCGCTGGTAAGTAGGAGGGAAAAGCTTTAAAGTGACGCATGAATTAAATTCCACTGCCGGGCTGGGGCTGCTCAGCCCCGCCTGTCCCGGGTCTGATGCCCCACATGCAGGCTGACCCGGGAAGCCCACCGGCTGTGGCAGAATCTGAATGCGGACTGCTCCATCCCCATTCCCGGCTCCCCTTCTCTTTCCTTTCCTCTTGCACCCCGACACCCCAGGCTTCCGCTTGGCTGCTCCCGCTGAGCCAAAGGGCTGCGTGCGACACTGCTTAGACATTAGCAGCCATTGCTCCTGCTTTCTCAGCATTAGAAGCTTGATCGGCTGCAGAAAACTACTTGTCTTGCTCCTTGGGAAGAAGGATGATGACAGGGAGAGACAGGCAAGAAGTGCCAGCCCGACACAAACGAGGATGCTGCAGGCTCCCGGCAGCCAGTCCAGGGCAGGGACCAGGTTCCCTCCTGTGCAACACCCAGAACTCGGTGCAGACATGAGAAACAATGGAAAAAAAAATGAAAAGCAGTGCTGCCTGTAGCCTCTCACCTGGGCTGGGGCGGGAGCATGGCAGTGCTTCTCCCTGGGAGCAGGAATGGAGTTTCCAGGAAGACGTATCCTGTTGCCTCAGAAGAGCTCTGGACCTAGAGGATGAGCTGAGTCCTTGTGGAGACAAACCTCATCATCCTCAGTGACCCATGGGTTTTTCCTTTTGGGACATTGGGTACTGTGTCCAGTGCTCTGTGTGGCAGGCAGGGTGAGCCCCAGCCCCTCTGTGTGGGTCAAAGCAGGGGATGGAGCCTCGGGCACAGCACCAGCCCAGAGGAAGTGCTGGGTGATCCCTGACTGATGGGAACGCACCCAGGGCTGGTTCTCCCCCCACTCACGTGCTGTGCCAGAGCCAGCGCAGTGCCAACAGGGCCCTGGCACTGACAGAGCCCACAGGACTTCAGCCTCCTCTTCGAGGGCCGCTGCCCTGCCCGGGCAACAACAGCAAAGGTGGAGGGTACCTGAGGGGCCAGGCAACGCGGGTTCTGCTTTCTACGGTGGAAAGTATCCATCACTTAGCTCCTCTCCATGACAAACTGCCAAATCTGTGGAAAAGTTGCTTTTTCCATTTTAGATCACCACCTCCATGTGGTGATCCAGCCTTGGCAGCAGACACATTGCCTAAGCATGAACATTAGAGGCGTCTGGATAAATAAAGCTGCTGCGGATGCCTCAACACCTCCAGGCTTCTCTGCTTGCAAGGGAGGAATGTTTTGTAAAGCCGACAATTTTGCTTCCAGTCTTTGTATCTGTGCAGGGCATGTCTTTTCTATTACATGTTTGCTGTTTACACCCCACTCCACATAAACAGCTTTCTGGTGCCATCAGCACGCTGCCAGCCCTGCTGTCTGTGCTAACAGAGCCCCAGTGGGATCCCCAGACTGAGGTTCCAGGCACTGGCATTACAGGAGGAAAGAGCCCACTGGGTCACTGCAGAAGATTCCCTTTCCTCACCTAGTGCCTTGCAGCATGGGGGCTGGAGGAAAAACTTTGAGCCCTGGAAAACATCCTGCCTCCTTCTGCCCCCTCACCTGTTCCTTTGTGGAGCTGGTGCTGCATCCTGCTCCCAGCCTTACACCATCCTCTCCATCTTCTCTTCCCCACCTCCCTTAGCCACTTTTCAGGGTCCCACCAGTGCTCCCTCTCCTCCCCATCTCTCTTGGGTCCCTGGTTCTGTTCCCAAGCAGATCTTTCCCATCTTGCCTCCTTCACCACTCCCAAGCTCTCCAATCTTTGGCTGTATGGGCATTTACCAAAGCAGCTAGAAACCCCACTGCCTTGTCTGACATTAACCCTGAAGGACCCCCACATCCTGCCCCTCCCAGGCCACTGCAGCTCCTCGATGCTGCTTTGCCCAGGGTGGTTTCTCCAGTGTGGCCCCGGTAGCTTCTCCTGCTCCTCCCTGCTCAGAGCAGCACTTCGCTCAGGGGACCGTGGGGCTGTGGCCGAACAGTGCTCGTGACACAGACACCACGGAAGGGATTTGGAGCCTGTCTGCAGGCCTCAGGCCAGCCCTTTTGCCTTGTTTCCCCTCCGAGAGACCAATCTCACCACAGCATGAACTGACATGAGCAGGGTCCACTGCTGGGCGCTCGCAGCTCTGTGTGTTTTCCAGGGAGGAGCTGGTCCAGGGCTCATCCCAAGCACAGACAGCTGCCAGGCAGGCAGAGAGAAAAGCTGCCCAAGTGCGGGGATCAGGAGATTATTACAGAAATACACAAGTTTGTGCCAGGAGTGCATGAAACCTAAAAGAATAGGGAAGCAATAAAGTGCACACTAGAAAGAGCAAATAAGATTAAAAGTGGTGTCCTGTCCATTATGTCTCCATGTTGAAGGCAGAACAGAACAAGTTTAAAATTTATTTCCAGAGCCAAAGAAAGTGCTCGGCGCCAAAATGTCACAGTTAGTCCAGTTTTCTGTGTCTAATATTGCTGTCATTAAGAACCTTTTGGTTCTGGCTGACAAACTGCCACCTACCCTTGTGTCGGGACTCAGAGGCTGAGCACTGCATGTGCATGGACAGGGAGATGCTCAGTGCGGGGCAGCCAGAGCTGTGTAGGCCTCGCACCATCCTGGCCTGGTGAGAACCACAGGCTCGCTGCTGCAGAGGATGGAAGTGGTGCTCAGTCCCATCAGCTGATGGCACTTCAGCTGCCCTGGCCCCTGAGCTGCCTCTGAGGGGCGATCCTGGCTCGCAGAGCTCCTTCACACCCCACCCAACACTGCTGGCACATCTCCCAGCTCTGCCCTTCGGGGTCTCCTAAGGGCACTGGAGTCTCCAAGTGCCCGTCAGACAGCAGGATGGAAGTGCAGGCTATGGAGCTGCCTTGAATTGGGTCTGAACTCCTGTTAAGCCTCATTAATCAGTTGTAAATGCACTGTATTCTCAATAAGGTCAGAAACAATAAATTTAATTTTGACTCTGACTCAAGCTACTTTGGTCCTAATTCTGAGCCTCCTGCCCAGCCGGAGCAGCCAGCCCTGGCTGTGCTGCACAAACTCATTTGATTCTGAAATGCATTTTTAAGCAGGATGGAGTGGTGCTTAAAAGCTAAATGGCTTCCCCCGGCTGTAATCACTGCTAAGAGTCCTGGAATGAAAGGGATAAAGTCTGGGGGCGGGGGGAGGTTTTAATCTCACTGAGTAGATTACAGCGATTACTGCAATTTAATCCTTACATATCTGTCACTGACGCTGCAAAGACCATAACCGAGGTGGGCACGGGTGTGCCGGCCCGCTCCGAGCTCCTGCCCCTCGCAGCGAGGCCGCGTTACAGCTCCTGCCCAGCACGCCGGGACCTGCTGCTGCCGCTGAGCGGGGTCCAGCCAGCAGGCACTGAGCCGGCACTGCCTTCTGACCGTGAGGATGCAGCTCAGGCTGCCCCTGGTGCCTTCTGACTCTGAGGATGCAGCTCAGGCTG